CATATATATAGTATGCTCTCTGAGTCTGTGTGTGTGTGTGAGCATATGTACATATATAGTATGCTCTCTCTGTGAGAGAGTTTGTGTGTGTGTGTGCGTGTTTCAATTAAGACTGTAACTTTTTAGAGCAGTTTTAGCTTTACAGCAAAATTAAGGGGAAGGTACAGAGATTTCCCATAGACTCCCTACCCCCCACATGCATAGCCTCTCCTCTTATCAACATCCCCACCACAGTGCTACATTTGTTACAGTTGATGAACCTACAAGGGCATATTTTTAGAAGAATCATTTTATTACTTACCTTATGCATTACTGTACAGTTTATCAAAACTGTAAAGAGATAAATGTATTTAAATTTGGTAATTGTTAGTGAGTTCCAAGACTGTGATTTTTTTCCTGTGCTGTCTTATCTGCTCATGTTGACTCTGAAAATTTTTCTAGCCCAGTTGTACAGTAAAGACACCTGAGATTACAGTTTCCATCATAAAGGAGCTAAATCGAAGAGGAGTCCTTGCAAATGCCCTTGCAGGTCGGGATGAAAAGGAAATCAGTCGTGTTCTTAATTTTTTGATACGGTATGTCTTATGTCTATGAAACACATATTTTGCATCTGAACTCCTTCTTTATCTCAAATGAGAGACATTTACTTTTAGATTGACCTTTGTAGAGAACTGATGGAATAATTTAGTAAGTCTATTTTAAGGATTTTTTTTAAAGTTGGCAAGTTTCAGTAAAATTTTTGCTTTGTAGGAATCTGTCTCAGCCAAGATTTGCCCCTGTTTTGATCAATGCTGCTGAAATAATTATTGGTAAGTAGTTGTTAAAACTTGAAAAATCCGGGGTGCCTGGGTGGCTCAGTTGGTTAAGCATCTACCTTCAGCCCAGGTCATAATCCTGGGGTCCTGGGATCGACAGGCTCCTTGCTCAGCGGGGAGTCTGCTTCTCCCTCTCTCTCTGCCCCTCCTCCCCCCGACTGGTGCTCTCTTGCTGGCTTGCTCTCTCAAATAAATAAATGAAGTCTTAAAAAAAAAAAACCAACAAAAAACTGGGGCACCTGGGTGGCTCAGTCGGTTAAGCATCTGCCTTTGGCATGGGTCATGATTCCAGGGTCCTAGGATCAAGCCCCACGTCGGGCTCTCTGCTCTGCGGGAGCCTGCTTCTCCCTCTCCCTGCCGCTCCTCCTCTTGTACTCTCTCGCTGTCAAATAAATAAACAAAATCTTAAAAAAAAAGAAACTTGAAAAATTCAAGCATGCTTATACAATAGAGTTGTCAAATAATAAAATCAAATAGATCACAATACCTTGTTTTTATCAATTCTCCAGTAACGATTGTCATGAAGAAAACAACCACATAAATCATTGTATTTTAAGGGAAGTAAAACATTTACAGTAGTTTGACTCTGAATTAGAGTTATTGTAATTAAATAACTTTTGCTTACACATCTACAATGACCATGACTATTTTTTAAGGGGAAAATGAAAGTAGGTCAGAAACTGCACACTGTACTTTCTGTAATTATGTCTTTTTGAAATACATTTATTCAGATGGATTGTTTCTTTTTGGTAAATCATAAATTGTAAAATAAGTACAGATTTTTCAGTGTGTTTATAGTTAATATTTTATACTTTTTGTAACTACTGCTGTTCATTTACTGTTTAGAAAGATACTTCTAGTTAATATGTTTTTTCTCTCTTTCTAGATATATATCTTCCTGTGATTGGTCAGTCACCTGTAGTTGATAAAAAGTTTTTGTTACTCCAAGGACTTGTAGAAAAGGAGATTGATTACCAAAGAGAACTCCTAGAAACCTTGGGGATGATGGATATGCTTTTTGCTACCATGACAAGGAAAGAAAGCACTTCGGTGTTGCAGCATACATCTGATGGCTTTCTAGAGAACAAGAAGGTGGAATCATAGTGTCTGCTTAATGAGACTTGTAAGAACAACTAACTTGAAATAGATTTGAGTCTATTAACTATTGGAAAGAGAATCTCTCTGATACATTAAAAGCCAAAAAACTATTCACAGAAGCAGTTTTATGGAAGAGACTGGAATATCTAGAATTGGAAAATAAGTACCTGTTTTAAGACATGGTTTTCCATGTAATATTTTGAATTATTTCATGGTATCTTCAGCTAGAAGATCTCAGTTGTCTTGGTCATAGTGTCCACCTTGGACAAAGTGATACTAATTTTAATACAGCAAAGTTCTTTATCAACATTTGGGTAGACATTCAGAATTCTGGAATGGGTTTCAACTGGGAATGCTGCCAAAGGGACAGGGCTTTATTTTTTACTTTTCTCCTGGAGAAACAACAGCAGCAGCAGCAAAAGAAATGGCAACAGCAAATAAATGTTCTCTTCACTCTGATCACTGTGGGATTTCCAGGCCCCTGCTGATCTTGCCTCCCTCATCTTGATGTTATCATTTATCCTAGGTCACGTGTTCTGCCTCTGCTGGTAATGGGACTGCATCTGCTCCAAATATGACAAATCAGTTGCCAGCTTTGAACAGTTTAACTCTGAACTAGTTAGACATGTATTCAGAGAGTGTGATGAGGCAGATCTGATACCTAAAAATTGCGCTCTCCATTCCAGATTTTTTTTTCATTCCTTTAGTCTTGACTGTTCTCATCAGAACAAGGTCTACAGATAGACCTTATTGCACCACGTTGTTTTTCCTTCTCAAGATGCAGTTTTTCTACCCAGTTTTCAACTTGCTTCAGGTCAGAGGAGTGATAAAATTTGCCATTTTTCTCATAATAAATAGCCTTTCAACCTTGTATACAGATGTTTGGAGCTTATCTTATAGCTCCCTACCCTTCTGAAAACCATTTTCTGTAATCTGTACTTAGATTTTGTTTCTCTAATCTCCACAATCATCTTGTGTTTTAGAACTGGAAGCTAGAGTAGCTTGTTTTGGAAAATAGTTTTGGTTTTATTTTTTTAAAGGACAATGTAAGTCACATTTTTTATAAAGATATTCTTATTTTCTTCTTGGCTTTCTGAGATATATGAATTCCTGATGGATAATCACTGGCTAGTGTTAGGTCACTGATTTCACATTTGCTACCTCTCCCACCTTCTCCCAATTCCTACTCCACCTCAAGTAGTTGATTTTCTGTAAGCAAACATTCCTTGTGTTAGAAGAACCCTTAGTTAAAGGAAGATTCTGTAATGAGAATCTCCTCTTAAAATTTAGTTCTGTGAATTCAGATTTTTCTTAAGGCAGAAAAAAATATTTCTGTGGTCTGGAAAGGGCATGTGCTCAAAAATAGGGCCTAGTTTCCCTTTCGTGAATTGATTTATGCAATCCTAACAGCACAGTGGCTTATAAGGAACCAGGAGTTTGCTTCCCTGAGTAATTATGACATTAGACAAGGTCAGAAACTGTCTTCATGTTGGAAGTGTTAATTTATTTAAATAAATTTTGTATTTAAAAACTTTTAAAAATATTTAACTTCATGAGTATGCTGGTAATTTCTGTATTAGTAAAAGTTAGAAGTCAAAATGTCATCTAAAACTAGCTGCCATCAAGTGTGTAACATGTGACAGGGGTTTTCCCATACATTATTTTATTTGAGTCTCATCGCAGCCATCCAGTGTGTTCTCATTTAAGGCTAAATTAGCCACAGTGGTTAGCCCACTCTTGAATTCCCCAACCTTGAGTGCTTCATCATCCTGGCACTGGGACTGGCCTGCCCTCTGGGGCCAAACCTAGTACTTCCCTTTAACAGGACTTCATTGAGTGCTGCAGTTCTTGGATGAAGTCAAGAATGAAGATGAATTTTCAAAAAGGTTATGCAACTTCCATAGCCATCGATACTGTATGGTAATTTCAGGAATAGTTTCTGTATTCATTGGGACAAACTAGTATTTGTTATTTAAAGTATTTAAACACAATTGGCATATTAGGCGTATTGTGGCATGTAGCATTGGTCTTTGGATTCTAATTTAAACTGGCTAACATTTTAAGACTTCTGAATTTTAGTTGAAAAGTATTTTAAAATGTTACTAAACCTGCAAAAATATTGACATGTTCTAGAGAATTTAGGAGCTCAGTGTACATTTATTATATGCATAAGAGTTAAGTACTTGGGAAGGTTTTGCTTGTTGGATCAAGTATTTGAAGTGCTATGTAGAAGAAAAATACTTTAAGCATATAAATGCTGTTTAATGGAATTTGAGTTGTAAGTGGGTTTGTTTAAAGAAATTTAAAATTTAGTGTATTCAACTTAAATCCACTCTATCAAACATGAATTAAAGGCCCCCTTGAAAGTGATTATTAAAATATACTCGTTTTATGGTTGGAATATTTATAAGTTAAACCTAAAACCTTAAGGAAAGTTTTCAAATGCTTAACAAATATCTATAAATTGGCTTTCCTATGAACAAAATGTTCCCCTCAGACACGAAAAGACATTGGTGACTAAGCTACATGCCTCTTTCCACTGACTGTAGTGAACTAGACTAGGGGTGGCATATCTGGCTCAAGCCCTGTCTAAGCCGAGAGATGTAATCGGGAATTATTATCAAATGCTTGGTCTAGGAAAATGTGGGATTCTGAGAATACTTTCTGGATTATCAATAGAGAAAGCTGCAGAGAGAAAGGAGAAGGAAACCTAAGTCCAGGGAAAAAATAAGCAAGACAAGGCCATCCTGCCTCAGCAGGTGAGGCTAGAGAAGAGAGAAACCATCATAGTTTGCAGCAGCTGTTGTTCCCTTCTGGTTGTACCTTAGGGATTTCCTCTGGGGTCCACGAGACTCTTTGGAATCCTTCTAATAAATTCTTTTTGCTTAGATGAATGTGAGTGGTTTCCTTTATTCACAACCAAATAGCTCCAAAGACAGTAGTTCACTAATCCTGATATTTATTGAGACATACACATTAGAGGTCAGGGAATTGGGGATATTGCAATGAACGATATAGACAAAATCCCTGTTCTCTTGGAACTCATATTCTTCTTGGGAGAGGTAGATGTTCAGTAAACAAGTAAAATGTATTGCGGGCCAGATGGTGATAAATGATACAGAGAAAAATCAGGCAGAGAAGGTTCTGAGATAAACTTTGTTGGGGGTGAGTAGGTTGCAGTTTTAAATAGAGAAGTGAGGGAGGCCCTCACTGGGGCTACAGTTGGGCAGAGGTCTTAAGGAAACTAAGAGAGATGCTTATTGATATTTAGGGGATGGGGTGGAAAGACCCCGAGGCAGAAGCATGCCTCGTGAGTTCTGAATATCAAGGTGGCTGGTTTAACTGACACAGAGCAAGCAAAAGAAGAGTCTAAGAAAGTCAGAAGGAATGGGATGGAAATGAGATGGTGTGTTTAGGCAGCTATTTGAGGGAACTTTACCATAAAGGGAAGCAAAAAAACTGGGCAATGGCTGATGGGATATGGGGTCAAGACTGTTCTAAAAAAATAACTTTAATGAGGTATAATTGGTATGCTATAAATTGCACATTTTAAAAGTTCAGTTTTATGTTTTGGCATGTGCACCCATGAGACCATCACTGAAAGCAAGATAAAGAGTAAAGTTCAGTTTTATGTTTTGGCATGTGCACCCGTGAGACCATCACTGAAAGCAAGATAAAGAGTATGTAATCCCACGAAAAAATTTCCTCCTGCCCTTCTGTAATCCCTCCCTAGCTAGGCCCCACCCACTTAGGCAACCACTGATCTACTCTTGGTGCACTATAGATTTGCAGATTGGTTTGCATTTGCTATAATTTTATACAAATGGAATCATACGTAATTTATTTAGGATTGGGGGGACTGGCTTTTTTTTTTTTTTTAAAGATTGTATTCGACAGAGACACAGCAAGAGAGGGAACACAAGCAGTGGGAGAGGGAGAAGCAGACCTCCTGTGGAGCAGGGAGCCCGAAGTGGGGCTCGATCCCAGGACCCTGGGATCATGACCTGAGCCGAAGGCAGATGCTTAATGACTGAGCCACCCAGGCGCCCAGGGACTGGCTTTCACTTAGCATAAATGTTTTGAGATTTGCAATTCATTTGAGATTTAAACAAAAAAATTACAGAACAGAATGCTGATGGGGATAATCCTGCAGACTGAAATTGCAGTTATATAGGAGAGAGGGAGGCCAGTTGTTGGGGCAATGTTTTTGGGAGGGGATTTGGGGTCGAGTGCCCAAATGGAAGGGTTGTCTTAGATAGGAGAATGAATAGTTCGGGCGTTGTTCAAGAGGGAAGGCAAAGTATATAGGCACAGATGTAATGAGGCGTGTAGATGTGATGGTTAGGGCTTGTGGAAGTTTTTTACTGGCCACCTTCATTGGAAACAAGATAACCAGCTAAAACTGAGGTTGGTGGAGAAGTTTAGAGGTATTGGAAGTGAGAGAACAGAAGACATGATACACTCCTAGAAAGGTCAAGAGCTCAGACTTTGATTGGCCTGGGTTTGAATCTTAGCTACTCACTAGCTATGTGTCTTTGGACAAGTTACGTTACCATTTTGTATTTACTTTTCTTTGTCTGTTCATCAGACAACATCACATTGTTTGGTTGTGAGAAGTAAAAGTATCTAGAATATTTCTGTTAGCTGTTACTATTTTGGGGAGAATGGATGAACTAGATAATGAAGTAGGACTACCAGCAGCACTAAGGGCCCACCTGAAATTAATGTCATGGATTTGAAGTGAGGCCTATCAGCATGATTGTGTATTTATTTTCTATTCACATTTGTTTAAGAGGGTGTAGATGTGGGATACCTTGAGACATGGACTTAACCAGCATTGGAGTTTTCATTGGTGAAAGAAAATAATCGAGAAAGGGACGAGGTAGTTGTTGAGATTTATGCGGTATGGTTATGATGGACTATGAATCCAAGCTGGGTAAGGAAATAAAATAATGAGTGAGGACAGTGAAAACATAGCTGGATCAATGGGCTGTTGGTTTGTGTGAAGAGTTAGTTTGTGTGGTAGACGTAGTGAGACACATGGAAGGTGCTGGTCAAAGAGCCAAGAATTATGACCGGAAGAATGTTGGAGACAGTGACAGCAAGCCAGGAGATAGAATGTTCAAGAAATGATGGGGAGTGGCCAGTGATCAGTGGAGACCAACAAGGTGGAGTATTAGGTATGCGGTCAGATGGCATGAAAGTCAAAGCTGAGGCTTTCCTGGGGAGTGGTGAGGGAGAGTGATCCATAATCAGCATCGAGGATCACCTACCGCACCTGTTAGGGCTGCTGTATGAGGGGTGTGGGAACATTAGTAGCACCTGGGCAAACTGGAGAGGAAGCTTGCTAACAATAACACACAAGAAGCTGGCCTTCCCCTCACTCCTGCCTTCCAAATCATGTGTGAATATATCTAATCGGTGGAACTCAGATTTGCATCCAGAGCATTATCTGCGAAGGAATCTGGGAAATGATGGTTTTTGAATTTGCAGCTCTGTAGTTCTGAAGGCAACCTAGAAGGATGGAGCAGCAGGTAAGGAAAGCAATCCATACAGTATTCTTCCTCAACTATTCTACACCCGTTTAAACATGCATGTATGCATGCCCTCACTTCTAAACAAATAGGAGCACGGTATACTTGCTCTTCTGCGTTTATTAGAGATTGCTCCATCTTAGTGCATATAGTTCTGCTGCATTCCTTTTTATGCTGGACTCCTATATCACTGTGCAGATAGAGGTGTCAATTTAATCAACGGGTACAAGATACAATGCTTATAATTGTTTTTCTGATATCTACAACTCAATGTTTCTGGAAGCTGTCTTTATTGCCCATTGAGAATTTTAATCAGGTGAAATTGAAACTGTGCATTAGGACAACTTAATAGGCTAGGTTGTCCTAATTCAGTTTCTTAATAGGTTAAGTTGTCCTAATGCAGTTTCAATTTTGCCTGTAGCTCACCATTAGTCCACGAGGTGGCAGTATTATTTCGAATACCAAGAGAAACCCACTTTTCCACAGTCCTTTCTCTGAATCAGGCTGGTGTTTCTTCGTAGAAAGCGGAGTTGTCTCACAAAACTAAGATATTTGGCTAGCGCTATGTTGACAAAGTGAGTTCAAAAACCATCTATAATTATTATTAGATGCTAACCAGAAATACAGAAATAATATCTAACCCAAGTCCTTCTTTGAATTAAAGATTAACCTTTTTAACAATGTAGACTAATGAAAAGAACAAAAACTGTATGATCCTGGGCCAGTCCCAGCTACTCTGGGACTCAGCTTCCATATCTGTCAAATGGGACTAATGTCCCCTCCCTTGCAGGACTGTTGCAAGAATAAATGTGATGATACATGAAAAATGTCTTACCTGCTTTACTGTGTTTTTCACATGTTTGTGATTATGGGAAGTCTTCCTTTCCTGCACTAGTTGGGAGCTTTTTCTTAGTTCCTCTGATTATTAACATCATTTAGACCACTTAGATAAGGGTTGAGTTGAAGTTTTGTTTTATACTGTTACAAAGGATGTTTTCTAAATAAATTAATCAC